GCCTTGTCGTAGCCGGCCGGCCCAATCGCCCGTCGTCATCGCCCGAAGCCGCGCTGGTCTCGGCCTAAAACTGACTCCTCCTCCTCATCGGAGATGTTTAGACACACGGAGCGATAAGCCCGTGCGTAACAGCGGCAGATAGCGCCGCTCTCTCCGTAGCCACACTCGGCCTAAAACTGACTCCTCTTCATCGGAGATATTTAGACACACGTAGCGATAAGCTCGTGCGTAAGAGCGGCAGATAGCGCCGCTCTCTCCGTAGCCACACTATGGCCGTTTTCTGTGCATGTAAATGATAAGCTGTGGCTGTATGTGGGGGAGGGGTGCGGGGGGGTATACTTTGTTGATTTAAACTGCGGCGATAAGGCCGTGTGCGTTTGTGCAGCGCCCTCGCATTGACGTCTGTTCAGGATGTGGTAAGAATGCTAAAGGAGCCAAGTGTTTCACAAGTGTCCTCAACCCCCCCACCCCTCTCTTCTTTTAACCCCCGTGCTGCCAGCTCGAGGTTTTCTGTGAAAATTCCCCCGGACAGTCCCGCAGTCTGCGGCCTTGTTTGTCACCAAGCAGGAGCGTGTAGTATTTGGTAAACAAACGGGAGTGAGTCCTCGCATCCTGCCTTCATTTGGACACAAGACACTGGCCTTCTTTCTAGTTGTGTTCCCCCCCCCCCCATCTGTGAGGCGGGGGGGCTCTTATCACATGACCGTTCTGTTTTTGTGTCGAGCGCAGTCGGCCATGAGAAGGCGACTCCACATATCAACATAGATCTGACGGACACGATCATATTTATTTACCTTTTTGTGTGTGTGGGGGGGTAGGGGGGTCTGGGTGTGGGTGGATTTAACCTCCAAATAGTTGCCGGGCCTTCTTTTGGAGGCTAAGACAAAGTTGACCCAGGGAAGCAATTAGAGCCTGGGGATGATTGTTGAAAATGAATGAAATTCCTTTGCAGAGTAGACAAGCGCCCCTCCCCCCCTTAACACACGCGACTTCACCGGGGGTGCCTTCACGGACCGCTGGTAAAAAAAAAAAACCCCGACATAAAAGGCAGTTTATGGCACTTTATCTACCGGTTTCAAGTGAAAAAAAACCAAACAAAACCGGATAGGTCGCTCTTTATCTCGAGCACGGGGACCAATTCAGCTGCTCTCCAGCCGACAGCAGTCTCTCCCCGAACCGAGCGAGTCGATCTCGTAAAACACTCTTGCAACAAGTAGATTCCAGCCAGGGCAT